CAATGTGACAGACAGGTACTAAGGTTGCCCTTTGGGATCTGCAGCCCCATCGCCAGGAGGGGAAAGAAATATGAGGGGAGGAGAACACATGGGAAGGTTATGGGCCGGCCTTAGAAGTGGCATTCCTGTTTATGGACCGTTGCTGGAACACCATTAATAACAAGCGCATGCCTATGTGCCAAAGAAGCTGGGACATGGAATCTAGCAATGTGTCCAAGAAAGAGAGAAAGGAGTTTTATGAACAACTAGCAATCTCTGTTAAATTAAGGATTATCTACTCTGGTCCAGTTCCTCATTTGATTGTAGGTCTGAAAGATGGAAGAGTATTCTTTGGTATGGCTTTGGAGAGTGGGTTTTTTTCTTTCTATAGAAATCTTTAATAAAAAGTTCTCCTTATTTGGGATATGGTATACTTTTGACTGACTCTCTATATCTCTCACTGGACAGACATCAGGTATATTCTCTTATTTTCTTGTAATTTATTTATGATGTTAAAATCTGCTGGAATGAGAGTTGTCTTTATTGATCACTGTTAATTTGATGACAGCTACAAAAAATGTCCATTGTAACTTTCCTTTCACTGCTTGACCCCCATGCATTTCCCCCCCCTCACTATCTGTCCAAGCATCACGTGAAATCAAACATTTCCTGCCCTCGTTTCTGAATTGCGTACAACCAGCTAGCAGGCATATAAGCAAGGAGGTAAGAATAGAAATTTACACAAGGAGCCTATTAATACACTATACAACTGAGGGTCCTGTGGAGAATGTTAGTTCATTTCCTACACTGAATGGCCATGCTCACTGTAAATTTCCATCATGGCAAGAGCTAAGATGGAGGACGGCAACATGGATATACACAAGAGATGGGAATTGACTAAATTTTATGAAGGGAGTTATGCACCTTTTCCACAAAGTAGAAGACATTAAAGGGTACTCCAACTTTAAAGCTTGGTTACATAAACTTGGAAATGATTTTTAAGAGTCATCTTGGATTATTTCTTGAAAGGAAGTGGTTGGAGGAGTTGAAAGATTTTAATGAAATATTTCAATTTATCCAAATTTACAATTGAAGACATTTCTGGAGGACTATTATGAAAATTTATGATCTGCTCCCTTTAAGTCCCCTAAGAACTGTGGCAGAGCATAGGCAGACTAGACAGAACATGTGACCTTTCGTAACCGCACCCCGTCCAGTGGCTGCCCAATTTCTTTATTGGTTCAGTCACTGATGTATTGATTTATCTAAGATTCATTAAGTGCCTAGCATTTGCTAGGCACAGTGCTGAGATTAGCAAGGTGGGTACTCACAGGTCCTGGGATGACAGACATGTAAAACAACCTCATTGGCCCAAAAGCCACAATTGAGGCATTTGCAAAAATGCTTTTGAAGTTTACAGAAGAAAGAATTCCCTTTCTCAAGAGAGAAGGGAAGGTTTCATAGAGAATGGTGAGAAGGAATTCACCTGGTGGAGGAAACAGCAGCTGGGAGAGATGTTTGGGACAGGAGGTTAGTTGTGTGGCTAGTTCCTACACACATATTGAAGGGATAAGGTAGGAGGTGGCAAGTGATGAGGATAGGTAGACTGGGTAAATTTGTTAAAAGAGTTTCATGTGCAATAATTTTAAGAACTTAAGTTTTATCATCAAGCTAGGGAGGTGAGGAACTGTTCTAAACATAATAAATTCTGGGCTAATTAATTCATTAATTCAGAGAACACTTATTAATCATCCATTGAGTATAAGCTGCTTGGTTTTAGAAGTCTATCAGAACATGATGTAGGACCAGCCCGTAAGGAACTTACAGTTTGTTGAGTGATTACAACTAGTGCAGGTGGCTCCAGGGGCTTGGGGAAGGACTTTAATTGCTCCTACCATCAACCCATTCCAAATTCACTTTATATCACCATTAGCATTATCATTGCCTATGATGTGGCTGATGAAATTTTTCTCAATATTATGTTAAGTATGTTTTGGCAAGTGCTGTTATTTTATTGATCTATAATATAAAACTTATATAAAAACAATGTCCTTAGTATATAAGCAAGAAATGATCCCTCATCCACCTGTTTGATCAGATAGCCCCCTCACCTCCCCTGCCCCGTACAGGAAGTCTGGAACAGCCAACAGTGACAGGTTTTACTGTATACTGAGGTGAGGTGCCCTACTAGGTCTGTACTAAGGGGCACATGGACCCAAATCAATTGCTAGAGTATAAGGAGGTGTGTGCAGAAGGTACATGCAGAGGTTCTTCTTTTTCACTTTTTTAAAAGATTTTATTTATTTTTAGAGAGGGGGAAGGGAGGGAGAAAGAGGGAGAGAGACATTGATGTGAGAGAGAAACATTACTTGGTTGCCTCTCACACACCCCCAACTGGAGACTGAACCCACAACCTGGGCATGTGGCCTGGCTTGGAATTGTACCAGTGACTTTTCACTTTGCAGGACGATGCCCAACCGAGCCACACAGGTCAGGAGGTGCAGAAGCTCTGTTGTGGGTACTTAATGTGCATAGCGAAGGGAGGTTTCCCAGAGGGACTCAAGGCAGCACTGAGCCATAGGGAATGAGCAGACTTTGGAACAAAGGATGGGGAAGGGCATTTCTAGCAGAGGGCTTGCTGGGGAACAGGAGTAAGGTTTGATTTGACAGGAGTGTTTCAAGTGTTTCAGACCGACTGCTGTGTTTGCTCTGCAAAGTGGAAGTTGGAGACTGAAGGTTGGAGAATGAAATGATCACTGTGATGAATAAAAAGTGTTGAAGACAGTGTTTAGGCTCATTTGACCTATGTCTATTCCTTGATAACCATCTAATGGATTTAGGTGAGCTGTGGGGAGAGAAAGGAAGCCCACTTTTATTATTATGACTCATCATAGCTCTCTCATAAATTATGTTCTTGCTCCAAGAATTCTCGTAAAACAGTGAAAATCATTACCCCAGTATAAACTTCCAAATAGTTCTTTGGCCATAGTCTACTTTTCAATGCTGTTGGCATCTTTTATTTTTTTCTGACCAGCATGTCCTGGTCTGAGAAGTAGGCAGTTGCATTTTTGGACCTGGTGGATTTCCCTCAGGCCAAGGGGACCACGTGGGTTAGAAAGACACTAATTTTCACTGAACCTAAAGGTCTGAACTTGTAATTTAGGAGAAGCGTGTGGAGGAAAACCACTAGAAAAATGTAGGTATGCTTGATTTTAAAAGACAGAAAGTGGTCTTGCCCCCATTTAATTTTTAGAGGAAGCAATGAAAGCTGAAGATTAAAGGTTCTAGCAGGGAAACAATATTTCAGCCCACAAGACGGTTTCTCCAAGTGCCGTGGACCGTTGGCCCTCCCTGCGTTGGGGTCATCAGGCACACACTTGATCTAGGAGTGGACTCCTCATACTTGCTCTGGTCATGGTACAATTTACACTTACACTTCTTTCTTTTAATCAAGGCAAGACTAAATCAAGAATTTACCTGAAACAGTGAAAAGAGATGCAGTGAGAACTGTTCTTAATTTTGGCATCAACTTTCCTGACCATGGAAAATGTCCTAACCTGACACTGCCTTGCAGTAGATTTTCTTTGCCTACTGATATTCACTGATGGACCTTATCAAACATTTGTGGGCCACGTGCCCGATCCGTGTGTCCCTGACTTCTGCCTCTGCTGAAAGCAACTTCTAAAGCACGAGCAAAATTTTAAATTATGTATCTCTCAGTAAGTACTTTTGTTTTGACCCCCTGCGGAGAAGTGTTTCATTGGGTTTTGGAGAATTAGCTAGTAACTCTGTTGGTTTCTGGGGGAGGGAGGCTTCTACTGCCTGGGGCTCCCCTCAAGGCCACTTGCCTACCTGGGAAAGCTGCTTTGTTCCCTTTTTTCTGGGAAAAAGGCTGGGTAAGATCAGGCAGCACCAACAGCACCTGTCCCTCTCTTCTGACACAGAAAGCTTCCATGCCTTCTCATCTTATTTTGGACCCCTCAGGTAAAGTAACCTCCCCCTGGTTCAGCCGGTTCAAGACCCTCACCCAGCCTCCATCCTGAGCCTCCCAGCCCCAGCTAGGATTTGAACTTGTGGTCCCGAGAGCAGGATGGATTAGTGCTCAGGGCTCCCACGCTGACTCTATCAAAGCTCTCCTCTGCACATCACCATTATGTGAATGGCTCTGTTAACCAAACCTATTATCTTTCCCCCTTGGTTTTCAAGTTGAGAAAGGGAAAGCAACTTCTTTAATGGGCCACAGATTGATGATTAACATTTTACATGTCCCTGCTGCTAAGTGAAAGAACTGCTTTGTGGACAGTGAAAATGCCTAGGAGAAGGAAGCGGGAGTCAACTTGGTTTATTAAGTTGTGCTGCTTCATTAATCACAATCTTTTTTTTTATGGCAGTGCTTAAAGGCCCATCCATTGTACTTCTCGGGAATGGGGCAGATCAAACACAAGTGCTTTTAGTGCACCTTTGACATCTGGCATAGCAGCCGGCTATCTGCGATATTGCTCTCAAGCAGTGTGGGGAGCTGCATTTACTGTGACCATGCTGGCCCTTCTGATTTAAGCTTCTGCAGAGGGCAATGAATTACCTTAAAGGAGCTCCACTGCACAACTCTAAGTTTTATGCCGGACCCCTGCCAGCTTCCCCACTTTATGAGTATGAACAATCAGACAATTGAACTGATTTGACTTTGCCACTCCTGGAGTTTCATTGCCTTGAACCTGGGGATGTAATGATGGCAGTGCCATGCTAAGTGCCGCTCTGACTAGCAGCAGTGCCTGCTGCCCATTCAAGTAGGGCACCCATCCTTGTTAGCTGAAAACTGCTCTGATTTGCAGCAAGGGGGAAAATAGATCCTGTGCAATCAGATTAACTCCACTCTGAATGTTATTTTCATTTAACACTGTGGAATCAGGCAGTGTCCCAATTTCTTTTTCCCCCCAGTGGAGTTTCATAGCACTGGTGCAGAAGGCACCCGCTAGGTCCTAATACAGACGGCACACACACACACACCCATGTAAACTCACCTGCATAACACACGTGTGCACCTAGTTGCAGACAGGCTCAGGCTCAACAAGTATCGTCAGAAAAAGAGCATCTGGTCCGGGCATAACCTGAGAGCGAGTAATTTATAATGTTTAAACTTCATGTCAGTACGTACATATTTCAGCTCTTCCTGTGAAACTGAAGACAAGCATTAAGGTTTCATTGTTACACTTTCTATGTCAGAGAACATACTCACTTTCAGATTTTATAAGTAAAATGAATTTCTTCTAACATCCTTTGAAAATACTATTATAATATTTGGAAGAACAATCCAGTGCTCACCATAAAAAAGCCAAAAAATTCAGTGAAGAACCCAAAAGCAAGTACAAGTCACCCATTATCTTACCACTTAGAGATTCTTATTTTAACTTTATCCACATGTCCTGGCTGGTGTGGCTCAGTGGATTGAGTGCTGGCCTGTGAACCAAAAGCGTCGAGGGTTTGATTCCCAGTCAGGGCACATGCCTGGGTTTTGGGCCAGGTCCCCATTTGGGGGCATGCGAGAGGCAACTGATTGATGTTAATGCCACGTATCCTTTTGGTTGCTAAGGCCAAAATTTTTGGAATCATCCTTGATTCTTCCTGTTTATTTTACTTCATATCCAGTTTATTCACAAGTCCTCTCAGCCCTCCCTACAAACTATATTCAGAACGTGATCATTCTTACCATCTCCAGTGTCATTGCTGCTCACCTGGATTATTACAGTAACGTTCATATTGGTCCCCCTAACTCCTGCATGCAATTTGGATGAAACCATATGTTTTAGAATTGTCACATGCTTTTATGTTCTTAAAAAAAGTGACAGTGAGGTATTTTGGAAGGAGCAGATAGTTAAAACCAAATTGGTCTGGATTTGAATCCTAATTGTGATGGCTACTGGTTGTGTGGCCTTAGGAAGTTTACTTAGTCTTTCGGTTTCCTCATCTGTACAGCAGGACTAATAAACAATACCTACCTCCTGGTGACTCTCAGGTAGATTAAGATGATTCATGCTAAGTAACTAGCAACAGTCTGACACAGGAAGTGCTTTGCTATTGCCCGTTCTCAGGCTCCTTCTCATTCATTCAGTTGGAATAATGTCAAACTTCTTCCCACGGCATATAAGACCTTCACAATTGTGACCCAGCATTTTAGACTAGGCACCTCTACCCCCTCACTATATATCCTGTGCTTCAGCTACAGGAAACCGCTCATCTTTCCCCAAACCCACCCTGCCTACCCTCTTCACAAACACATATTCAAGACACCCAGTGGGCCTCCCTCATGCCTTATCACCATCTCACACATTGATACCAACCTCGTTTATCAGATGTGTAAATTTGATGATAATAATGTCATTTTTCCAGCCAACCAAAGGGTTTCCACTGCACCTATCAATGTCCAGACTTCCAAATGGGGCATACAAGTGCCCTCTGTCTCTGCAGATGGAACTCAAGACATTCTTTCCTCACACATCCTCCTTTTGCCTTTACTGTGCTGCCCCTCCTGCCTGGAATCTCTTTCTCAACCTTCTCTTTGCTGGCCAAATCTTACTTACCTTCTTAAAAACACTAATATTCCTTTAGTGATATATAATTTACATAGAGTCAAATGCAAAAATCTTAAACATACACACTAATGAATTTTGACAAATGCATATACTCATAGAACTCTCATCTAGATCGAGATGGAGAACGTTTCCATCACCCCAGGAAGTTTTCTCACGCCTCTTTCTGGGCAAACCTGTCGTGATACTGATTGCTGTTACTGTGGATTATTTTTTACCTGTTCTTGAACTTGTTGTAAATAGAATCACAGCATATACACCTTTTTGTGTCTGACTTCTTCTGCCCAACATGTTTTTGAGATTTACCTATGTCATTGTGTGCATAAAGAGTTTTTTTTATCGCTAAACATGAATATTGTATGCAGTGGTATCTCATGGTTTTAATTTGCATTTCCCTGTGCAGACAATGATAAATACCTTTTCTTACATACAATGGCTTATTTCTCCTTTAAACCGATGTTTTTCAACTGCAGGTTAGTCCAATAGTGAGTCATAAAATCAGATTAGTTGCTTGTGATTTACACGTTAAAGAAAGAAAATAGAAACAGGGTTAAGTATAATAGAAAGTCACACATGGTAGGGATAATTATTGTTTTGTGAAACTTGTTTCTCAGTTATGGTTTGAGCGTTATGTGCAAGTGTGTGCGCACTGACGGCAATGCCATTTGTGAAGAGTTTGAAAAGGGTTTGAAAGCGATTGATTTAAATTTGAATTAACGGTGGCACTTGCTGGGCATTATGAAGGTTGGAGAATGGACTGGGGTAGCGGGTAAGCAAACAGAGAATAAACATCACAACTTTCTTCAGGTAAGTTGGTTTCTACGCATTAGATAAAGCAGCTGCCTCTCCTCATCTTGTTAGATGATCTCATGGAGGAGAGGAACCTTGTCAATCAGCCTGGCCTGAGCTCTTGGCTCGCAAAGCTTTGTGACAGTCCAAACTATCTTCTTTGTTCCTGGTGCCCCCCTTAGTTGAGGGTGTTCCAGAACAAAAAAGGGGAAGGTCACGGTCAGCACCTACATGCATGTTGATTGGAACTTGGGCCCTCAGACAGCAGCAGGAAAAGTACATAGTGAAGCCCCTTCCCGGGAGAAACTGCGAGATGAGTGTTTTCAACGTTCCCTCTGTGCTTGATCTGGATATATAACTGTAGGATCCTGCACACTAACAACCGCTTCTTCGTTTGCCACAGTCCTGTGGAACTTGTGAATGCAAGTCCTCTTGGCTCTCCAAGCCAGAAGACTGAGGGTCCATCCCAAAGGCAAAAACTGGGGCACAGATGTGTGTTTGAGTGCCTTCTGGGGTGACACTGGCAATTTGGCTACAGGCAGTGTGTTACAGGGAGAAGGTGGAGGAGGCACTGCTGGCTTCCTAGTCTCTGGAGAGGATGGCAGTCACCCCGTGTTTGTGAGTATTTCCTCATTCACCTGCTGTGTAGGTGTCGCTCAGCTATTGTCTGAATTTCTCTGAGGAAATTGTTCTGTGTGTAGCTATACAATTAGTATGTCCACGGGAGGCAGTTCACTTATGTCACCATTTGGACTGGAACTCCAAGGGATTTGTTTTTATGAGTCTTTTCTGCTCCTTTGGGGGTCAAGGCAGGAGACAGGCAGGACAGGGTGGTCCCCATGTTTCAGGTGTCCTGGGCCGAGGGGCTGATTCTTCTGCCTGAAACTCCTGCCCTGCCAGCAACCTAGCATTTTTAGATGGTTTTCATGGAAGTTTGATTCAGATCAAAGCTAGATGTTCTTTTAGGTTTTTTTTTTTAAATTTATTTATTCATTTAGAGAGAGAGGGAAACAGAGGGAGAGAGAGGCTGATTTGTCGTCCCGCCCATCCATGTATGCGCTGACTGCTCCCTGTGTGTGTCCTGACCGGGGATGAAGCCCATGACCTTGGCATATGGGGATGACTCCCTGACCAACTGCACTCCCCAGCCCGGGCCTAGGTATTCTTTTAAATATTTTAGGAGTGGTTGGTTACATCACACATCTTTAAAAACAACATTTTAAACCTATATTTATGTAATTTATAATGTCAAACTTAAGACAGTTTTCATTTTTCTTTACAGATGATGAATTTAGTACCTCTGCTTTAAAGATGCATTCTCTACTTTTTAAAAAATCTTTATTAATTTTTTCTGGGATTCTGGGCTGTATCATTTGAAATAAAAACTCTTTTTTTTAGTGTTCAATTTTGTAATAATAAGTGAAGTAAGTACGTAGATTAATCACTTAACTTTTATGATTATGTTTTGAGGTTTATTAAAGGCCGTGTTGTGTTAAGGCTCAGAGTTTGATATTTGGAGCGAGAATGCTGGGGTTCAAATCCTGGCCCCACCAGGATTTGTTGGCTTCTCTCTGTCTTGCCTTCCTCACTGGCAATGGGAAACAATAATAGTAGCTACACCATTGGTTTGCACAAAAAGATTTAAATGAATTTTAATGAGCACCTAGCAGAGTGTCCAGCATATAGCAAGCACTATTAATTGTTATTATTATCATTATTTTAATCTTCTCTTTGTGTTTGGCTTATTCTTCAGTGTTCAGTGGTAGATGTCTTAGAAAAGTGTCTTCTTTACAGATCTGAGAAAGGTATATAATTGCTATCCTTTTGCAATCTTGTATCTTTGAATATGATTTTTTTTTGTTTTTGCATTTTCACCTAGGAACAAACATTGGTGGAATATAAAATTCTTGAGTAAACATTTTTTATTTTTTTCTTGAAACGTCATAAATAGCATTTTATTGTCTTCTAGCATTTATTGCTGCAAAATTTAATGCAAATTTTGTCCCTTGAAAGTGAATTGTTTTATCTTCTTGGATTAATTAGTCAATTCAATAAATATTTATTGTGCTGATTCTATATATAAGAAGATACAGTTCTGTGCTTGAGGTATATAGCAGTGAACCACCTTGTGAGGCTGACAGACTAATTGGAAAGGAGGTGGGAGAAAGACAATAATCCAATTACCCAGAGTTAGCTCATCAGCAAGTTCTAAGGGAACAGTTCTCAGAAGACTGCCTTCACTTCTGACACCAATTGTAAGTTTGGGGTATGTTCAAAATCCTTCCCAGATTTGATAGTTTGCTAGAAGCACTCACAGAACCTGCTAAAGGCTATTACACTCATGGATATGGTTTATTACAGGGAAATGATACAAATTAGAACCAGAAAAAGGAAGAGATGCACAGGGTACAGTTTTAGATGGGTCGAAAGAGGAAGCTTCCGGTTGCCTCTCCCTTCGGTGTCACAGCAGCATTACCTTCCCCTGAACATGGTGTACGACAGTGCGCATGTACTAGGCCAATCAGGAGAGCTCACCTGAGCCTTTGGCATCTGGCGTTTTCTGGGCTCGATCACATTCTTAGCTGTCTTTTAGCCTCCAGCCCCTTGAGAGGTTGGTCAATACCTTGAGTCTCCTGTTCCTCTGGAAGTCAGAACCTATGCGGCGTGGCCCAAAGCCCCCACCATAGATCACATTGTTAGACTTTCTAGTGCCCAAGCCTCCAGACAAAGACCCTTCTATCATGCAGGTCATCCCAGGGGCCTGGAGATCATCTCCTAGCAGCTTAAGGAAAAATCCAGACCTCTGTTTGGGTGAGGTTATTTATTTACTATGAACCAATTAATATATAACAAATGCAATGAAGAATAATGAAGTAGCATGAGGGGGACAGAGGGGAAGGTGGAGGTGGTTCCTGTTGTAGAGAGGGGGGCAGAAAAGGCCTCTCCTGAAGCCTGGAGGAAGACTGGGAGTCAGCCACATAGACATTTGTGGAAGAGCTTTGCAGGCAGAGGGAACTGCAAGATCAAAGGCACTGAGGAGGCACATAGTTGGAAAGGAGCAGAAAGGAGGTCACGTTAGTTAAAGAGTGGAGAGCACAGTACAGTCTCTGGCAGTGGGAGGTGGTGAGTGGCAGGAGAGAAGGTCAGAAGGGCGGGGAGGAAGGCAGATCTTGTGCCTTGTATGTTTGGGATGTTAACTCTCAAGGAGATGGAAGCCACTAGAAGGAGTTGAGCAGAGGAAAGACATGCTGTGACTTGAGTTGTTAAAGGTTTGCTTATGGTCTTGGGCGGAGAATAGCCCGTAGGGAGCTTGGTTAGGAGACCAAGGGGATAGTGAAGGGCAGAGGTGAGAGTCCCTGGAAAAAACTGATAAAATGACGGCACAGACGTACATGTGGTTAAATTCTCCTGCTAACGCTGACACTTGTAGCAGCTCCCACCTCACTGCCTCCCAGAGTCTAACCTGCCACAAGTCTGTTCATTTTACAGGTTTTTCAAAAGGCAACTTTTTGTTTATTGCAGAACTCTGCTTAATTTTGAGTAATTTCTGCTTTTGTCTACATTATTCTTTCAATTTTATTTGTTTTCTTATTTTAATTTCTCCAGCTGAAAATTTAGTTTTATTTTCTAAAATGTATATATGTGTATTCCACAGAGTTCCACGTGGGTGTACCCCATCAGCATGGGTATTTAGTGCTCACATTATCTTTATTTCTGTCATTTGTAATTTAAGTTTTGATTTCCTCTTTCATCCAGGAATTACTTAGAAGTTTACTTTTAAATTTCTAGGTGCTTTTATTTTTATTTCTATTTTTTGGTGGTGCTGGAGATCTTTATTTTGTTGCTTTATTTCTAATTTTTCCATAGCAGTGAGTAACTTCGTTTGGGTTTTTATTGAGAGGTTCTCTGTAACTCAGTACAGTCAATTTTTATGAATGTTCTGCATGTTTGGAAATAGTGTTCATTCTTTGTTTATTGGGTACAGCATTAAATATTTATCTCTTAGATCAAACTTGATAGCTGTGTTATTAAAGTCTTCCCTAAATTTTCTTGATAAAACATCTGTTTGATCTTCTAGGACCTGAGCTCTGTGTGATTTTTGTCCACTGAGGCCTTTTCGGTTTCTCCTTGGAATTCTGAGTTTGCTTTATACACTTCAAAACCACCTTGTTCGGCACGTGGAAAATAGGTGGATATTAAGTCTTCTAGGTGGATTAGTAACTTTTAAAAAAATACTAAGTAGTCTATACTACAATTTTCTTGAATTTTATTTTTGTTTGATTACTATTTCTACATCCTTAAAACAATCTTTTTTGTTAGCATTTATATGGGGAAGCTTTTTTTACTTCTTTATTTTTAATTGTCATTTTGTTTTAGGGCTTTCTTTGAAGACATTTTATATTTAAATCTGATTCGTGCTTCTACCTCTAAAAGGGGAGGTTAACACATCTGTTATAAAGTATCAGTATGCATACACTTATTTTGAGTCACTTTGTTTTCTATCTATTGTCCTTTTTATTCTTTTCTTTTTCTTTCAGAAATGGAGTGTATCGAGTCTTTTTTCTATCTCTTGTTTATAATTTTGTTCATATAGGTTCTGTACTTTTATTGTTAAATTTGTCATTGGAATGTTATAGTATTTATTATTGAAGTGAATGACATTTTTTCCATTTTATTTCTTACTGAGAGAGTATTTTCAAATGTAGATTTTTGCATATTTACCACCCATGCAGCCATGTAATAAAATGATCTTTTTAATTTGAATGAAATTTTGAAAAGTAGCCATTTGGATTTTCTAGTTATGCATTATGTTATTTAAAATATAAAGATGATTTGTTTCTTTTTTCCTAATATTTGTACTGATTATCTAAATCTCTTTATCAGGTATACATGGTTTCCTTCTATTAATACTAATTAGAGTTTTAATTTTAAATACCTTTTTGGCAGCTGTTAGTAAAACTGTAAATGCTTCTCCTTTAACTTATTCTAATATAACATTTATTTGAATCCAGACATGTTAGATGTGACATTTAGTTTAGAGTTTTTAAGAAGCATTTTTTGACACTGCTGGTGTGTGTAAAAGAGGGGTAATATTAATACAGTAGTAACATAATGTGACATATAATTTATTTTAGTGGTGGAATTTATTTTAATAATATTATGAATCACCCAAATCTTAATCTCTTAAGATCTGAAGAAATTCCTTCTATTTCTCAGTTATACTCTACTTCATTTTATGGCAGAAAATTGTACTCTATAGTTGAATTTTGGAAGTACTGCTTACAAACATTGGTCATGTCTCTAACACCTGTTTTTCCTATAATGTGCTGTTGTGTGGCCCAAGTAAAGAAAGAATATACGTGGAAGACGTTGTAAGATGTAAAGAGGTCTGCAGTGATGAGTCGCTATTATTCGAGTGGGTGCTCAGTCAGCATGTGTGAACTTGACCTGACATCTAACTTGGCTACCTCTGCCTCATATTTACTTTTTCAATTATCTATGCCCTTTTCAAAAGGGACATGAGATCCTGTGCCCAAGGACATAGTGGATGTGTGGGAATTATTTATTTAGTAATGAATTACAACATACAGCTTCCTTTTAAGGGCAGACATTGGGGTCTTTTTTTTGCTGCTGATTCTGACAACACATCTGTGGAATACATGCATCCCAATGGTCATTTTGGTCAGACACGAAGCTGAGCAGATGCTTGCTGAGCCTCAACCACCTGGCGGGCCTTTGTTATCTTGGCAAGAGTGTCCAGACTGGGAAATCTGAGGGACACATTTCATTCCAGCTACAGGCAGAATTATGAGTCAATGATTTACTGTGAGACCCAAGCTTCACTACAGACACCATTCAGAATGGGAAGCTTGGGGATTTGCATCTATCAGGCACAAGGACCAGGAGCCAGGAGGTAAATTATAGACCAAGGCTGTTTCGCCAGCTGGTGAGACTTTGCAATTCAAATCCAATGCAGGTAGAGTTGCGCTCACTCATTAACAAAGGGCAATCCAGTAAGCTGGCATAGACCTTGACAGGGTCCTTGCCTGTAAGGGCACTATCTTCCTAGAAGGCAAGTGCGGCCTTGGAGAAAGTACCCTCCAGTTTCTCTCAGGTTGAGTTCCATGAGCCCCTTTCCAAGCGGAGAAATAGAGAACCTCAGGAAGTCTTTTCCAGCTTTGTGCTCATCAACTGTGTTCACATGTCAGAGCTCCTGGGAGTCATGTTGCTCCTTACTGAAAAATAATACATTATCAAATGTTAACATTAGCGATGAAATAATTTAAAAATATTTTTCTTTTTGGTATTGTTTTCTCAGTGACTAAGGTCTAGTATAAACTTAATGTTAGCTGGGGTTTTCCTGTTCTGTGAGATCTAGTTTAAGCGCACAATTCCATGCCCCATGAAAGTCTAAACCTGTTCTAAAGATTTCTGTAAGTTTCTGGGTATTTAACCCATCAAGGTCACACACAAAAAATCATTTTGAGGATGACTGAACTGAACATCAGGAATCGCTGTGGGGATTGGGAGGGACACCATATTGCCCATTGAGCAGCAGACAACCTAGCTGTACTTTGCTATTCCTGTTCTTAAAATTCTTTGGGACATCATGTGACTGGGAGTTGCTCATCGATCCTTTGGCCCATCAGTACCCACGTTTCATGATCTCATCGGGTCCTTTCTTGGTGTCATCTCCCTTCTTACCCGAGGTACTTTCTCTTAGCCTTGGAAACTTGGAAATCTTTTCCAAAACTTGTGAGTCTAAAACTATTACGTCTCAACAGAACTGAGGGCTTTCTAATGAAAAGAAACTGTCTTTCTAAGCAGGTAGTTGTGATTATACATAACAGGTATTCCACACCCCCCCACCCCCCCGGCACATCAATTTAGATTGGTGGCAATTAGAACCAATGTTTAAAAAAATATTTATAAGAAAAAACAGATCAATATTTCAGTTCAGTCTGTGGGTGACCAGCTCTGTGAGGGCATGCTTAGAGAAACACTGAGCTAAAACTAAACTTTTCAGGTGGGCATCCCAGAGCCTTCAAAACTGACCTACTGTTGGCTTTTCTCCACTAACCGTCCATCATTACTCACCATGTATTCGATGTCTGAGGAGTCAGGCCCGAAGGAAATGAATAAAGAGTAAAATTAGAGAAAACAAACTGTTTAAAAGAGGAAGCCTTGACTGGGCACTAGTCAGTTTTTCCAGTTGGGAATATGGGAACAATGTTGCCGGAACTTCTATTTTTTATAAGAGAATCTGGAGATTCTGATTTTATATGGAATTTCCTGAGTAAGTGTAAGCCAAACAAAACATGTCTGGGATGGATTATATTTGGAACATAAGCTGCCAGTTGCTCCATATTCTAGTCTCTCCTCCTCTCTCTATTCCCCCTTCTCTCTCCCTCCACACGATGCTTCTTCCACTACTAGGACTACTCTTTCTTCTGATAACACCTGCCATTCTTCAGGGCTCAGTACAAAGAGCACTGTTTCTCTAGTTTTCCCCATTCTCTCCTAGAACTGTTCTCAAATAGACATAATAACTACTTCTTTATAGTTCCCAGAGACCTCTCTCTGAATACCTCTTCCAAAATGTGTCATTGCATTTGTTTGCTGGTCTGCCTGCCTTGCTACACTATGAAGACTTCAAGAAAAGGAACCACGTTAATATCTGTTTATCCTCAGAACCTGATATAATACTTACCACGTAGTAAACACTCAGTGTGT